TAGCACCTCCCTTGGCAACCTAAATAACGTCAGACAGAAGATCTGCTTTGAATAAATGTTGTTTACCAACCCCATATGGGTCTCCCTCAGCTACCACTTATTACTCGGTAGCTATCCCTACGGGAGCTTAGCTACCAGTTTTTAAGGTCCCTTCATATGAGGCATTTCAGGTCGCTGGTGAGGTGGTTGCGTTCAACTTGGCCGGAAGTGCAATTTAGTCCAAAAAAATTCAAAGATTCTTGGTTTAAAAGAATCTCCAGATCTATTCAAGTGCAGTGTGAGTTGTTAGCCATTCTAATTTGTTACGGACGCTTTATTAGACTGTCCGGCAAAAATCGCTTTCCTCACAGCCTGCAAAGTCGAAAAGCACACTATTTTAATGATTAATCCGATGACCACTCCCAGTTACAAAAGAAAGCCAAGGGGTAGGGAAACAGAAAACAAAATCGTAAATTACAACTAATCTTATACGAATGTAAAGCCTTAAGGGTAAGGCCACAGCCCTTGGGTCCCAACGTAAAGGTCTATGTGGTCTCTTCAAACCTTTGATCCGAGAACTCTGAGTTCTAACTCACATAAAAGCACCGTTAAGTTCTAAGGATCGGAATGCCCAGTACAGTTGATTTCTTTTGTAAAAACTTTCAGCACTCCAATACAACACTGAGTTACTAATAAGCTTTCGGAGAGCACAATATAAAGGAGTGAAGAAAACATTCAAGACTGCTGAAAAGAAGAGGACTCAACGAGATTCGTTGAGCAGAGACGAAAAACCACCAGAAAAGGGAAACTCGATACTTTTTCGCTATGCTTCCGCAGACGATAGACGGGGTAGAAACTAGAAGTCTCATCAGGAAGTATTCAAAAGTTCCCATCACTTTTGCCTATTGCATAAAAACAATGAATGAAAATGTTCGAAGCATAACTTCTCGGGAAACGGCAGTCCAAAACACTTCTCAGCAAGGATTGCGAAAGCAATCGCTGTTGACGCGACGGGCGGTCCGTCGCGCGCGGTCGTTGGTGTGACTCGTCCATGGACGAGCTACCCGCAGTTATTCGCACTCTGCCCGATGGCCAAAGGAACCGTTGGTATCACACTGCATGTCGGCAGCTTTAGCTAAAATTCCTCCGTCGCAGCGGCCGCTGAACACCTGGGAGGGTGGTGCAGTCGACTCAGCACTGCCGATCCTCGACGTCGAATCGAGGAAACTCCCAATTCGATTGGATTCCACTCTGCCACCATGACAAGACTGGATTGCTAGGATTTGAAAGATGGTGCGTTTTTCTTGCGTTCGTCAGTAGGAATGAAACACTCACAGATGTGGGCCCCTCCATAAATCATATTCCAGAAACCGAGCCTAGAGAATTAAGTTGATTGAGTGGGGCTTTCGCTAAAATAGGTGTTTTTACAAGAATTTTCCTGAATTCTTTTCAGCTGAGGAAGCTCTATAGAGTAAGTCAAAAACTTTCGTGGAAGCCACCTTTGCAAGTCCCTTGTGTGCAATGTTTGTCGACCTAAGGTTAGATGGGTTTTAACTATGACCAGTTTGACTAACGCACACACTCGTGTGCACTGAATTTGATTGTAAGGCATCAGGTCCTACATAACTTAGCCACTGAAACGACATGTTATAACGCAGTACGCGCAGTGCTACCCATGCCTGCCCACGTCCTAGCTCGGAACGACCATGTGCCAGAGTGCCTGTAAAGTGATCACAAGGAAATCTATTATAGTGGAGGAGGGTGTTATTACACGCAAAACGTCATCTCAGGTTAAAACTACAACACCGACTTCATTCTGGCTTGCAGTGAATTTCTATTATCACTTTCCCCCTCCCAATCAGATTCGTTCTCCGGTCGTCTGCACTCTCAGCATAAGCTTTTTTAGGGAAGGGATACATATGCGCGGCGTCTGAAGTGTCCCCCCCCTCCCCTAAACTCCAGGCCAGTTAGCGCCCCTTGTCAATTACTGTCAACGTGTTGGGAAATTTTCGTAGACATGCGCTATGAAGCTAAGAGTTGATGTCAGTAATTTAAACGCAGTTTCTCCACTTTTTCGACACTGACGACATTTAAAGCGGGAAGACGCGAAGAAAGTTTGTGTGAAACTATTGGATTAACATTGGTGGGTTCTGGGCGTGTTTTCTTTAAGATGGGGGGGGGGGGGGGGAAGAGGGCAGCGCAGGCACCCAGATGTGGGAAACTTTTGCTCTATACTCTTGAATGTGTGAACTTTTCCCTGTTGTGATGGAATTTCGTTTTTTTTTTGATATGGCTTCCTTCGAAAACATCCCGAAAAGACCCATCGATAAGACGGGATAGGGTCAACTATCACAAATAGTGATTTTGCCGCGAACGATACAACAAAAAAATCAGCGGTCAAAGGATTCTCGGGGCCGCATTGGGCCTCTTTCCTCTCCAGCAACCAAGAACTCACTCTGAGGTAGGCAATTTTCAGCGATAATCTGCTCTAAGGGAAGAGGTGAGGAATCATTAGGGGTGCAGAAAGCGAGGCAAAATGGCAGAAGTGAGCCCTATGTAGGAATACCTTAACTGGTTGATGGCAAATCAGTAACTATTGTGACTGAACTGCTTACAATTGAAAATCCCATACAAATGTAAAATTTCATACTGTTTTTTATTCTATCATCATATTTGCAGATGGGAGGTAAGCGATCAGGGCGTCCTGCTGATTCACAGCAGGACCGTGTCAGGACACACTTGTTTTTCTCAAAACAGACCGAACGACAACACCAAAAACGAAGGCGTCGAGCTCAAAGTGAGAGATAGCTTTCTCATTTTTTCCTTTATAACTATCAGAGTATGTTTGGCAGAGGTTTTCCTTATGCATGGCTTTACAACATGATCTTCATCGCGCTACTGTTGGGGCTTTTCAGGTGTATTTGGCGCAGGTCCTCTAGGTGGGATGGGAAGAGGCAGTTTCTTTGGAAATACAAACTGTCCTCTTAGGGGGTGATGACACGCATGATATGATATGCTAGCGAATGCTACCAGTTTCATTCTCTTCACTTGCAATAAACTACAGACGCTCGGCGCCGACCTAGGGAATGCGCCATGCATTCGGCTTTCATCATCTATTCCAGAATCATCTAAAAGTCTGCTGGAGCGAAAAAAGAGAGTTCTTGGGTCGCCCACTGCATTTTTTCGAGGAAATTGGTGACTTTTTAGAGAAATATGCTTGATGAATTGAAGATGAACGGCCTTCTCTTAGGCCGTTCATCTTCGATTCCCCAGCCCCCCCCCCCTGATCACCATGCTGGTGCATGCAGGTTGTTTTGCTCATTTCCTGATATGGGTAAGGAGCAATAAATTTCCTGCCACTACGCGACTTTTCCGTGCTCAACAATAGGGCTTGAATAGCACCGACATTCGATGAACATTACGATGCGTTTATAACCCACTGTGGACTTCACTTCGACTTGAAAGGAAGAGTCCTGATTGGAATCAGTTGCTGCGTGCAAGACTGCACCTATAATTGCGTCAACGTTTCGAGCGTTGAGGGAAGTATAGGTATCGATCCGGTGTAGAACAACGCGCGACAGCGCTTTGAGCTACTTCCTGCGAATTCAAAACTACCTGCGAAACGCTCAAAACGCTGGCGTACGCTCGAAACACTGGGTCGATATCTGTACCTTCCGCTAGAAGAAGGAAGCACGCTAGAAACGCTCCAAGCGCTGGCGCAAAGATGGACGCACTCCAAATAAGGCTGCGTTCATATCTTGCGACAGTGAACAGTTGAAGAGTTCAACGAACGAAGCGAAGGATTAGAGATTAGAACTTACGAAAAGGATAATTACGTACTGATCGGAAGAAATGACGAATCGCGAAGGAGATCGGTACGTGTTTCATGCTTTTCGCCAATGCTTCAATTCGTCAATTACTAACTGCGGCAAGGTAAGGTGAACGCAGTCTAAAAATGAACTGTTATCGTTTTGTAGCTAGTCATATAGTTCATATCACTGCCCGGTACGCTGGGATACTGCACACAGATGCCTCCCCCTCCTTAGCAAATCGCGCCGCATTTTCGGTTCCAGCTAGCTATGATAGACACTGAAGATTTTGGACATACTCTCATATTACAACATAAAAGCGTGAGTTTTCAGTGTATCGAAGCTCCCTGAATGTCAGCCTTGTCAAACATTCAAAAGCTTGTTGGCTGTTGTTACCCTTCAACGTTTATAGGAGAGTGATTCCGCAAATGAAGTATTCTGTTTCCGCAAAACTCACAGTTATGTAGATGAGTCTTAATTGCTCGTCATAAAAATATCGATCGCTCAGTAACTTGCATATGATGCACTTAGCAGCCTTGTGTAAAGCGCTGATTGGTGCTAACACACTAATTGGACTCATGCTATGAAACAAACGTTTTTCCCAGATTATGAAGGTGGAGCTTCACGCTTTATTGTTGTCTGGAACTTTTCCCCATCTGTTTTGTGGTCCTGCACCAGGCTTCATATATTTTCCCTGGGAGCTTCTTCAAAGTAGATAATGATTTGCTGGAACTATTCAGCGAGGATATATTGGCCTCTGTCTTTCGAGTCAATTTATAAGCCATCTGTGAAGTACTGCAACTTTCAGTACTTCATAAATATTGTGTCTACTAATTAATTACTAATTACTGGTGTGAGGTGTCTTCTGAAGTGGTTGCCTGTAGGGTGTATGCTTAGTACGATGGGAGACCTGGTTGTGGTGCAGTCCTGTTCGCTGTGGATGATGGGACAGGTCCGAGAAGCTGAGTTTAGCGCGGCACCATCTTGTTTTGCAACAACTGGAAAATGAGCTGGCGT